AGATACGCAAATCTAAATAAGGACAACCATAAGCGAAGCTAGAGTCAAGACGAGTTAAAGTATATGAAATGCGGTGCAAACAGATGCGAGCTAATAAAGAAAGCGGGAATAGATTGTGTGTGTGTGAAAGAGAGAGAGAGAGAGGCTTGAGCACTGTTTGAAGTCAAAATGAGAAGCTTGTCTTACCTACTATTGTCAGATTGTAAGCCTATTTGTGACCACAGTGGTTATTGTGTCGAAGACTGGGTTGTTGCTATTGAAAAAGTATTTGAGAAGGAAGAAGTAAAGTATGAGGAATAAAAACTTGTAGTATTACGCGTAAACAATAAAAATGTGTACAGAGAGTCGATGAATAAGGGTATTATTATACTTGTAAAAAAAACAAAGTTCGAAAAAGAGAACTAGAGCTTATGTTTCGACGGGTTAGCGAGACAAAGCGATGGATAACTAAGTATATAAACGAGAAGGGTATATAGGCAAAGTGTAAGCATAAAGAGAGGTAGAGAGAGAACTTGTATAGGTACTGATACACAAGAAAGACTTACAAACTAGAAAGACAGGAAGTCTAAAGCGAGAGTGCGCGTGTGTTGTGTGAAAGGAACGTAAGCGAGAACGCCAAAGGGTAAACGAGTGTGCGAGATAAGGGGACAAAGTAGAAACAGCAAGTCAAGGAGCGTAACACTGTGGAAGTCGATGGTGGAAGAGGAGAAAGGAGCTCGGTTCTGGGGTCGAATGAGGAGAGAAAGAGAGAAAGAGAAAGAGTGAAAAAGAAAAAAAGAAGCTTATTTATTTTCTGCTGGATAAGCCCCTACTCAATATCGGCTTTGTCTTGGAGTATATACCTTTACCTTTCCTCGCTTCCTTAAGTTCTTACCACTCTACTTTGCTGATCTCTCACTCTCCCCACTCCCTTACTTTATCATACACACACACTCTCGCTCACTCACTAACAGACACTTCACCTCTTTATACACTAGTACACCCTTGAAAAAACAAGCTTCTTCCTTGAAGCACTTTACTCCCAAACATCTCAGCGTCAAGAGCGTTGACAGGAATATATTATCTCTAGGATGGTCCTTGCTTAGTATAAAACATTATTTTAGATCGATATTGTCACGAAAATGGTACACAATTCCCTAGACCCCAGGTTATACCCTGGAATGCCGTAAGTGACATAAAAAAAAAAAAAAAACCTTACTATCCAGATCACACTGAATGCAGTTCACCTGTTGTGTTCTGAAAGGTAAGGGTAGTCAGAATATGATATCTTTTAGGAGGAGCTACCTGGTCCTCATTACCACATCTACACAAAGATTAATAAATATAAGCTGTAGTAACACTACTTTGTTCAAATCCTTCAAAAAACAGAAGCTTAAATATTTCAACTGGCACTGCATGAAATTGTTATTATTATTTTTTTAGCTTTTTTTTTTTTTTTTTTTTATTAGCTTTTTCAACTACGTTTTAGCTATAGACCTTTGGTAGGATCCAACATTATTTCCCACAGGAAGCTTGTTCAGTTTAGTAATGCGATGGACTTTCGATATGAACCAAGGATTCTTTTAGATCTAGGAACACTATTTTACTTCTGTGAATCTAAAAAGACAAACTAATCATCGATTAAGAGTATGCAAAGGCTGGACCAAAAAAATTGAACTGTCTAAAAAAAACAAGGAACGCCAAGATAGTCTCTGATCTTAATGGCACCACAAATAATAACACCATAAATTTTACTGTTACAGTCATCTTCCAAACTCAACTTCTTCTGCTCTTACCCTAAGTATAGCAGTGTTTTTTTATCTATTGTTTTCAATTTCTTATAGCATAGTCTATTCCTAATATCATAGTCGAATAGATCAACACTAGAGTAATAGTTTGACTTGTTATTGGTACATTTGGTTGTTGTCTGTTGTTGGCACCTTTGTTCTTGTCCTCGAAGTAATATTGTTGAGCCTGCATTGGCAAGACCACTGGACTGACTTATTGGCGCAGGCGATAGAGATAGTAGCTATTATGAACGCGTGCATAAGCGTCACAAATGATATTATAACAACAGTTCGTTGTTTCTGTGTTGGTATGGGGTGCCAAGCAACGCCTCACCATTGGCAAAGATCGTTAATGTATCGACGATGCTGCTTCTAGGATAGTGCTTTTTACCATGCAATTTTACTTTTAATCATTTTTATACTACTTTATATGAATCTTGGTGAAAAAAAAAACAAAAAAATAATAATTATCGTGTTATGCATAGGATTTCAAGTAGTCACAGGAATCATGTCATAAGGCTTGTGTATGATTATCGACGCACGCTTCTAAAACTTCGACTACCGACATATATATATGTTTTTTGTTGTTTTTAAATGGTTATAACAACAATATAATTGGCAGTAGAATCATCTAGGTATCTCTGAGTATTTTCCATCTTTTTCTACAATTTGGATTTAGAAGCGCTTGCATTCTCTTCTTTCCGTGCAATATCAAGGGGCAGTCCAGCAACAGGTGCAACCATGTTAGCGTAAACACAACTTCTGCAGAGCTAGCTTGTGAGGAAACATCCAGCAGCATGTTAATCACTGAGGTTTACTAAATGATATCATGTTCATCTTTGCTCTTCAGTAGTTTGGCATCTTTGAGGCAATTGAAGAATTTCAAGTTGGTTAAATTGATTCCCAAAAACGACCCTTTTGTCTGTGAAATAGAATCTCAGATCAATGTATGTATTATGGAGATGCCAAACAGGTTATTTAATAATAATCTCGTTCTCCATCCTCTCTCATCAACATCGAGAGACTTACATTACTTTAGAACAGGTCGTAATCGTAGCCACTCGTTTCCAGAATATTGCAAAATGCAGACTAGTTGTCATTATTTATAATTAAGCATCGTATTATGTCGTGTCTGTGGCATGAGTTGCTCTATGTCATTGCTCTTCTCTGAGGTGGTCATCTATTGTGCCACTAAGAAATGGCTGTGTTCTAATACGCCATTATCGTTTGAGTCCTGTTTGGTCTTGAGCTTTTCTCTTTTTGTAATTGGAGGCGCAGTGAATAATGTATTAAAGGGGTGCTGTACGAGGACCTGTCTCAATGTCCAGTGATATGAAATGCTTAAGTATAACCTGCAATAAATGCCAGGACAATAACAATGAAGCAACACAAACAGAAGAGGTGGCCGAGCATGGTCCAAGGCGCTGCACACTTACAGTTATACAACTAATGCAGTCTATCTAATCGGTAGGCGTGGGTTCAAATCCCTCCCTCTTCCCTTTTGCTAGCTCAATAGGTCGTTTCTTATTTTTTTTTCTTTTTTTTTTATTAACGTAAATCCACATCGGGAAAGAGACTTGTGGTCGGAGAGTGTCTACCCATATGTTTCCACAAGCAGCAGAGCTGCATCCCCACCCATCTATGATGGCTGAGGTGTCTTGGTTCCTTAT